TAATATTTGTAAAATCGGCAGCGTAGGTTATCATTTCATTACATTGTGTTTTTACCAACTGGTCTGGATATTTGATTAAGTTGTTTAAATTTTGTAAGACGACATTTCTGTCCATGTACATATTTTTTTTTTTAAAATTGGCTATTACGTATTTTTCCACATTTTCAAAGGTACAAAATGAGGGTGTGTGTTTGTAATTATTCTCTTCAACACAGTAACTTAGTTGTACATTTTTTAATAAGAAAAAAAAAATGCCTTTTTCGACTTCGTTAAAATTATAATAGTGTGTTATGAAGTTAAAACACTCTTGCTTTAGGTACAGGATGGTTAACACTTCGTTGTTTGCTTGGAAGTATGTAAATCGGTTGTCCAGATGGTCTAGAAGGTCATTTTGCATGTTATCCTTATTTGTATACCTGTCCACTGTGTTTTCCCTGGGGTCGAAATAGTCGTACTGGTTTTGTTTGTTCATTGGTGCGTGATTCTTGCGGTCTGTCGCTTGCACGTTCATGATGTTGGAGCGATCAAAGGGGGTGCTACTCCTCGGACAGGAACTTCCCCCTGCAACCCCCAGGTATGAATTACTCCCTGGATAGGAACTTGCTCCGCCTGTATAAGCACTACTTATGAAGCTGTTATTATCCTCGTTCAAGTAGCTACTACTACTAAGAGGGTCCGAACTTTTGTTCCTTTCTCCACTCACGGAGAATATATTCCTATCGAACAAATCGTTGTTGGTAAAATTTCTACAAGGGTTATTTCCCCCTGGTTCATTTTCCATTGTCTTCCTCCGTTTCGCATTGTCAGATATACCTAACACATCTCTCGTAATTTTCGTGCGCTGTTTATTGGTGTCATTTGGGAAGGCGTTCGTTGCAGGATTGTATCCGCACATGCTATTTACATTATCGACTGGTGCGAAAAGGAAACTATCACTGGAGCTGTTGAACGACTCGTTGGAGTGTTGATTGTGCTTGTCAAATGGAGTAACGTTTAAAAGGCTGCTGGTTTGGTTTAATTCTTGGTGGTTGGGGTGAGCCGTATGAGGAGTGGGCGCTTTACCCTTGATGTAACAGGCTGGGTTCGCCCTTTGGGCATTTGCCTCCACTCTGTTCATGCTCACATGGTTATTTCGATTGGGGTGATATAGAGCGGCATAGTTATTCGCATACGGTGAGGGATCGACGTTGGCGTTGACATAATTTATTGAGTGATCATACTTGCTAGTATGTTCATTATCATTTGTGTCATTTTCACAAGTATGTTCATTAAAATACTTACACTTTTTTATATATTTTTTTTTTAACAACTGTAAAAAAATTAATTTTAGTTTTTTTTTTTTTATATTTGGGATTTCCTTTTTACACACTTCTACGTAATCATCATGTTTCAAATTATTTACACACGCGTCAATTGTGATTCTTCCATTTTTAATTACTCTTAAGAGGATAACCTTTTCGATGAAGTGTATAATGTCCTTTTTGGAAGATCCCTCCTCAGCACTGTTGTCTTCCTCTTCTGGGGCAGTGCTACTGTTATTATCGTGTATCATGTCTGATGTGAAAAAGTTGTAGCTCATAATATGGTGCGATCCCGTGGGAGCGAAAGCAGCATCGTTTGACATGGTCACATTTTTTCCCTTATTCTTAGCTGGAGCACTGTTAGGGATTGAGTCAAGGGCAGAGGAGGTGCCAGAGAAGTGGTAATATTCTGGTGAGTCACTAGTGCCTCCACTTTTGACGCGCGTTGGGTGCATGTAGTAAAATATGGAAGAGTATCTAAGAAGGGCGTAAATATTATTCACGACAACCCAGTACTCCACCCGTTTAATTTTGCAAATGCAAGAGGAGCAGCTACAGCCCTTCATGTACTTGTAGCTTCCGTGGTAGGTCAACAGGCGCATTTCTTCGCTCAGTTTGTTTTTGCTGCGTCGTTCCGCCGTGGCTTCGTCCTGCGTGTCGGCATCGTCCTCTGCGTCGCCATGGGCATCGCCCATGGGGGGATCATTTTGTGGTTCCTCCTCAGCCTCTGTTGCGTCTACTACTTCACCAGCTTGATCACCTTGGACTCCCTCTATGGGTGCTGTCGTGCCCAACTCATACACTGCCTCTATCGGTTCTTCTACCGTGGCCTGGCCACGCTGTTCCATCCTTTCGTCCGGCAGAAAACCCACCCTCTTCCCATCAGACGCCACGTGACTGCATTCATGCGACTTGCCATACATAATCCGGAAGTCGATGATGTTATGAATGAGCAAGCAAAGTAACATGTTCCTGACGATGCTAAATTCGTAATTTGACAAATTTATAATTTCATTAATTGTGAGTTTATTTCCATACAGCAGAATCAGCTCTACGATCTCGCTGCAGCATTGTCCGAATATGTCTCCCACGATGTACTTGAGGTAGTGCAGTTCGTTGCTTATCATTTTGCACAAAGGGGGGACATGAGGGGCTGCCTTACTCAAGGCCTACTACTGAGGGAAGGGAAGCATAGCCCAATAATAAAAACGACGGGACATTCCACATGGATGCAATCGATGTGAACAATGAACACTTGTTGAGAAGCCAAGTGTTGGTTTGGGCTAGGCCAAAAATATCACCAGGGGCGGGGCAAACTACGCAAATGGTTTAAAGGGGGCAAGGTGGGCTGTACACGTGTGCCTCTCCTTAAAAATGGGGGGAGAATCAAAGAAGATTATATACCAAAAAAAAGGGCCACAATGGGTACAATGAAAAAAACTGGTACGAAAAAATGGAACATACTTCAAAAGTGGGGGCGGAGAATGAGAAAAAAAAAAACACTTTATGCTAAACAAGTTCTCATGTGCGGAATGGCAAACGCGTTGTGAAAAAAAAAAAAATATCCGCGTTTGTAAAGGAAAAAAAAAAAAAAATTTTTTTATACGAAAGGGAGAGTCATCACCCTACAGAAAAAAAAAAAAAAAAAAAAAAACGACCAAATGAATGAATAGACGAATGAATAACCGTACGGAGGAACCATGTAGAAGGTTCTTTTTTTTTTCTCCCAAATGTTGAAGTAAAAAGTGGACGGGATACGGATATTATGCCGCACCTCTTGTGCCATGTTTAGCGCCCTATGTCTGCAAGGCGTAAAAATATTGAAAAGAAAAAAAAAAAAAAATTATTATCTTCTAACCAGTTCGTCTGTCAATTATCGGACACAGTTAAGAGGATGGATGTGGGGGTTGCCAAAAAATATAACGGTGCCAATTTTGCGAAATTAGAAAAAGGCCAGCTTGCATGTGTACATATGTGTCCATGCGAATGCTGCCTTGTGCGAGGCATACATTGACCTGTTTCGCGGCACATGTGAACCTTTTTTTGGCTGTAAAATTTGGACCACAGCCGTCCCTCTTTTTTTTGTGTGGATGTGTATAGGGAGGTGTGTTGGAGCGTACGGAAACAATCCGGATGGAAAACAATATATATAATAAATGGAAGGGATGAACCCGCTACTGGAATATAGTAAAAAATTACTTTTTTTTTTTTTTTTCTCGCATGATGTGCCGTCCACATGGGTATGGTGCTTCAGCCCCCGTTGTACCAGTAACGTTTTCTACCCCCAAAGGTTACCCATTTTGTTCCGCTTGCTGCACCAACAGAGAGAATCAAAGAGGCCGTTTTTAGTAAGCATCCCCTCGGCCTCCATAAGACGCTCCCAAAAAGAGAAAACTTTGAATTTAAGACAAGGGCAAAGGAAAAGATAAAGGATGAAAGGGAGGACAGGATAAAGCACCCAGCAAGGGAAGATATCTCAACCCCCAACAATAGAACTGCTCTACAAAAGAGGAGCAGTCAGAGTTTTGCACTTCGTCCCCGCCATACCTTTCAAAAGGAGCACATTCGCCATGTTGACAAATTTAATGACACTCCTCATGGAGGGAATTCAAGTGGCAGAAATGAAAAGTGTGGCAGGCAGACTTACGCAATTTCGCAAGAGGAGAATTTGGAATTGTCCCTCGTCTGCCCCGACGGGCCGGTGAGCTTGAAAAGAAAAAAAAATATTCACTTATTCAGACGAACCCCATATAACAGTAACGTAACGAATGATCCGAGGTGAAGGGTTTTTTTTTTCCTTCATAAAATTGCACAAAAAATGGCTCCTCTTTTTGCAGAAAAGCAACACAGGGATGGTAGTATACAAATACTGCTACATTTGCGAAACGGGAAAGCCCTGTTTTTGCAGTGAGGAAAACTACGACTATGAAAAGGTAAGCAAGAAAAGGATGTACAAATGCGTATCTACCACTGGGCAAATCTGATGTTGCTATTTGTGGAAAACTTATAGACACACACTTTATTTTTTTTATTTTTTTTTTTTATTGTAATATGATTAGGATACGTCCACCTGGGATGGCGGGAAAATGAAACCAAACATTCATTCAACGTTTAAGGATATATCAGTAAAAAACTTAATTCGCACGAGTGAATTGTTTTTTTTGTTTTTTTTTGTTAACATGTTGTTGTGTTTTAATCGTTGATCATGTGCTCTCCATTCTTGACCCAAGAATATCATAGAGACAATTCATTCAAACAAGAAAAAACAAGAGGGGAATAAGATTAATGCTTGCGTGAAGGGACAAGGAGGGTGAGATTAAAAAAAAAAAAAAAAAAAAAATTTAACATATGCCCATCTGTTCACTATTAAAGGGGGCGTTCATTTAAGTCTTCTTTTTATTTTCCCTCCCAACTGAACAAAAGAAAATATGTTTATCCACATAGTTTACGTTGCTTACCTTTTGAACACAGAAAGGCTACAGGGAAGAAGGAGCTTCTTTCCAAGAAGAAACGTATACCCGAGACGGAGACTGTCTCGTTTTTTTTTTTATGCCACTCTGAAGCTACTCATTTGTTTTACTACTCCATCATTTTGATCAAAGAGCTGAAATTATTTGCTTCTTTTTCTACTGGCAGGCCAGAAGAACGAACAGACCAAACCGTTGAGTAGTTATGACAGGTGGAGAAAATGTGGCAATGTACATGTCGCATGGTTGGGGCCATACCTCGTCATGCGCTGTGTTGCTTTGTTTTCAGGAGAGGCCAAAGGGGATGTGATGATATGAGAATCTCCTCTACTGCGTGCATATTCCATATGGAAAAAAAAAAAAAAATGTTTAAGAAAAATAGACAAGTAGAAAAAAAAATTATTTTTTTTTTGCCCCATTTTGGCATTTTCAGATTTTACCTTCATCAAGTGAAAACCATTAAGGGGAAATTGGATTGCTTGAGAGAGGGGCGTGTGTGGAATGAGGACACGACGGGTAATACGAGTCATTTTTTTTTTGCTGCACCTTATATAGATTGGTGGCCCTGTGTGGGTACGCACGTTAATTGTATATGTATATGTTGTTATTCGTGTGTGTACCGGCGATAAACTCATTATTGATCATGCGCATAAACGTGTAATGATGAAGCACAGAAAGGGGCCGAGACGAAGAGCAAAGTCGACATGGTAAGATTAACAAATTAATAAAGGGAAAAGCTGAAGAGGGAGTTAAAAACGTTTACCTACTTCTTCTATAGGTAGTTTATAACGAGTTAGGTGGAGCGGAACCTATAATTTCATTTCGAATCGTTTGGCTTAGCAGGACATGGACCAGAACGGACCGGCCATGGAGAAAAGGATGGACGCTTTGAAGGAAATTGAAAAGTACGCAATGGTGGACAAAACAAACGATTTTTTTTTTTTTTTTATTTGCACAAAATGGAGGCACCACTATCATGATTGATGCATGTGCCGCTTCGCAGATGCATGTCGTTTGTCTGTGTAGCTAATTCGTGCATGGAAGGAGGTACATTTTTTTTTCCTGTTCCATATCCACACGGAGCTATAACCCGGTCATAAACGAAATGTGTTTCTTTTTCTACCCCTTCCAGAAAGCACCTGAAGCTGCTGGTCAGCCTATTCGATGAGTACAAAGATTTGGAGGAAAAGATGTTATGATGAGAAATTTTCAGTGGGGTGTTCCCTTTTTTTTTTTTTTTTTTTTTTTGTTGTTGTCACAAATGGGTAGATACACAGATGCATGTATAGCGATACATAAGTGTACACATGTGTGAATTTTGCCAACCTCCACCCCGCGATCGCAAACTTGAAGCGTATACGCGTGATGGTTTACTTAAAAAATGTAGAGGTTGTGCTATTTCAAAATTGAACAAATGGGGAGCCGCGGTAGTGCGGGATTAAGGCACGAGCAAGAAATATATACATGAGCAAGTTTTACTCATAAGCACATATACAAATAATCGTACGCTCGAGCACGCAGAAGCACTGGAGCAATATGTTTTTCAGAGGGACACGGAGCGAATGAAGCAGAAATTAGTAGGACCATATCTTCAAAAGCTTGTCTTTCCCTCCAGAGGCGACAAATTTGCCGTCGTTGGACCAGTCGATGGCGTACACAGCGTCTGAGTGTCCCGGCAGGTCGACTAGAAGTGTTTGTACTTTTTTGTTATTTTTTCCGTTAGGGCAGTCCTTGTCATTTTTTTTTTTTTCACTTGGATCGCTGTTCCCTTGCTGGTGTTTGGAAGTCCCATTAGTGGAGGCGGTTGAGTCTTCTTCCCCCGAGGGAGTTACCTTTTTGTTTTTTAATTGAGCCAGTAGATGGCTGACCTTCCACAATTTCAAGGTGCTATCTTGGCTGCACGAAACCACATAATTATTATCAATGGACCAAACAACTTTGTAAACAGGTCCCACATGTCCACGGTAGACAGTTAAAAATTGGCCATCACTTGATGACCATACTCTAACGGTATTATCAAAGGAACATGAAGCAATAAATTTTCCATCTGGAGAGAACTGTGCATGTATAACTGTTTTCTGGTGACCTATTAATCTGGTTGGTTTGAATTCATCATTTGGTAGACACTCAATAAGGTACAGTGTTCCATCGTCTGATCCACTTACTAGTTTTTCATTTTTTACGGTGTGGAAAAAATTATTAAAAATTTTTTTCGATTTTTCAATATGATTTTCTATATGTATTTTGTTTATTATAACGTCCAGGTTATAAATTCCATTTTTGATTATCCGTTCTGTGTTTATGGAGAGGCAATTAACCCAATGTTTGTGTCCTTTAAAATTGTGGATAAGGGTTCCATCGTTAGGGTTCCATACCTTGATGGTGGTGTCTCTGGAGCTGCTGTATATTCTGCTATTCTCCTGATCCGTGCCAGACCATAGTATGCATGTGATTGTGTTTGTGTGTCCTGTGAGAACTTTCTCCACGCAGTTGTTCATGACGTTGCTGATTCGGATGCAGCCATCTTTGCCTGCGGTAGCCAGTCTGCATTTTAGAAAGTAGGTACTTTTGTGAGGGGCTCCTCCTATGTTGTCATTATTCGTTTCGTATTGGTCAGCCGTTACGTTACTTTCGTTTGCCATTTTCGTTCCATTTTCTATCACTTGGCTGTATCCATTTGGGGGGCCATCAGAAGCTGTGCCCAATTCCGTTTCTGCGTCGGATTTCCCCCTTTTGGCCCCATTCCTTGTGTCCTCCTTTTCCGTTTCGTTGTCCTTTTTCCTCTTCCTAACCTCATGCGTGTTTTTCTGTATGGAGTTTTTGTTGAGCAAGTGGAGGGGCTCAAAACATAAGGTTGTCACTTCCTTTTTGTGTCCACTTAATTTATTTACTAATTTTCCTGTGTGCGTTTCGTATATAAACACATTTTGGTCCATACCCGCTGTGGCTAGAAATTTATTATCCGGGGAAAACAAAACGGAGAGGACCCAGTTTGTGTGATCCTTTAATGTGACTATTGGAGTTTTTGTGTTAATATCCCACAAGCGAACTGTGTTGTCTCCTGCACCAGTAGCCAGATGGGAGCTATTTGGACTGAACGCTAAACAGAGAATTGAATTTGTATGACCAGGCAATGTAGAATTGCATGTGGTAATTCTTTTAATTTTAAAAATATTTAAGGGGAAATATTTTATACGTAAAATATCTTCCCTACTTATATTATTATTCTTTATGGTGTCATACAGATTATTTTTTAATGCTAATTTATCGTTAACCATAAAGGAATAATTAATATTTTGTTCGTAATCGTCTTCAACAGAATTGTCATTTTTTGTGTTTAAATCATTAATGAGTTGATCCAAGTTATCCTTTGTTATGCTCAGGGGCACGTTGATTACTGGGCCCGTTGACTTATTTTCATGGTTCACAAACTGAATGAGGATTTGCTTGTTCAGCCCATCGTTGCCACCATCCTCTTCTTCCATCTTTTCGAATTAAAGTCACAAAAAAGGAGTAATAAGACGAATCTCGAAGACGTGGGGGGGGAATCATACAAATGGAATGAGTGGAACAAGAATTGTAATATGTTATATTTATAATAAAATGGGGGTGGAAAAAAAAAAAAAATTAAAATAATATAGGCGACAGAATACTCGAAACGGAGGAAAAATAACCACACAGCGGAATAATTGTGACAATGGGGTGAGCCTCCTTTTTTCCTTTTTTTTTTTTTTTTTTTTTTTTTTTTTTTTTAAAAAAACGGCTTCAAACATCTGTTGCTGTACCATTATGTGGCACGTTTTTTTGCGCCTCCGCAGTCGTGAATTTTTATGTACAACCGCCTGAATTATGTTGCCCCGCTGCAGTAGCAAGTTGCTGCGGTTCTTGCGGGGTGAGAAGCACTGCGAGCAGCGAACACCACAGGGCAGGAAGCGGGGTCTTACCAGTCCTGTACCCCCGATAAATCTACTAATCTGTCAATATGTTAACCTGTGAACCATGTAAATCAGTGTTGAATTTCTCCCCATTTTGGTAGCGTCACGATGGCCATTGCACCATGCGGGGCGTCCCATACGCGCACAAACAAGCAAAAAAAAAAAAAAACAAAAAAACCCTTTTTGGAATGCATATATGTATGTATGTTTTGTGAGGTCACTTCAACCCAGTGGTGACATAACCAGTATTATAGTAAATGGGGGATGAGCAGGTGGCAAAAAAAAGGAAAAAAAAAAAAAATTATTTTTGAAAGAAGCACTGCCTCCTGTTTTCAAATAATTACAAGGTTCTTTTTATGTATTTCTCAAATATAGAGTGATCATTTTTTTAAACAGACAAATGCGGCTACCTTATATGCATTCACCAGGATGCTGGTTCAGGTACCCACTTTTCAGTATCACAAAAAAATAAAGTGGGAACCCAGTGGTGTGAACCCTCCACAATTGGAAGGCCTCCATCAGAACAGGCACACAAATGCTCTGATGCGTGCCTTGGTGGAGTAAACATTTGAACATGCCAATATAGAAAGTGAATCGCTGTGTGCACATGTAGGCATAGACAAGTGGGGTACTCATTTGGGCACCACCGTGCTGGTAAACAAGGACAAAACAATTGGTCATTCATAACAAAAAAGAATAAAAAAAATGCCATAACTTTTTTTGGACAAATTTGCTCTATTTTTTTTTATGGTGTTTGAATTTAAGGTGCTTTCCAGGGGGCCTTTTCACGACTCCGCTTTGATGACAACTGCGAAAGGGGCATTGGGATTGCGTCGCGTGGAGGTGACACGTGACCGTACCAGTCGCTCATATGAGTAGCAGCACAATCGTATAGCTGTGTATATTCGAGACGCAGTGCATTTTGATCGGCCTCTCCTCCCCCTAACCGTTGGGGATATCCTCAAGGTCCTGTTCTATGTTAATGGAAACGCCATCGAAGTTGTCATTGTTTATAATCTGCATTGTTTAACAAAATTAATTTTTTTGTTTGTTAGGGTTCCGTGAGGTGGGGGAATAATATGAACGTTATTTTATTATTATTTTTTTTTATTGTTTCTTTGTTAGTGGTACGTTGTATTGTACGTCCTCCAATGTCTTTTCGTCGTTCTCGTTCCGCATCTGTCCCGCATTGAGGCAGAGTATTTGCTTCGTCACAAATAGCCACTAGGGAGGAAGACGAGAAATTGCGCAAATTTGTTTTTGAAAAAGTGGGAAATGTACGTGCAAAGTGTTTATCCTGTGTATGTTTTTTTTTTCCCCTCCCGCATATGTGCAGTTTCTTACCCAGTTATTTATGCACTCCTCTGTGTTGCAGCTGGATCGAAGCGGGACAAAAAAGAAGTGAGAAAAAAAAAAAAACAAAAATGATAATTGGTCATGATTAGTTAAAAATATGTTTCTTCATTTGCCTGCCCACTTTTTTTATTATATAAGTGGAACGGATGGAGGGAGGGTGAGAAAAATGAGCAGTGCCTCCATTGGCTAACCATAGAACTACGGCATCTTTGTTAACTAAGGAAAGGTAAAATTGAGACATTGTTGTTTGGGTATATTCATATAACTCAAGGGGGGGAGGTTAAATGTTTGTGGAAGAAATTTCCCTCATTTGACGAGCACTACGTAATCGGCACGACAATATTGGCAATTGCGTAGGAACCGCAACTCTGACTTGACTTGTACTTTGCAGTACATATGTCTCTGCTACCCTGAATGCCTTTTTTTTCCCTTTTTAATATATTTTTTTTATTACATACCCATATTAAGAATCATGCACTCAGGGCTGGTTGAAAAAATGGACAGCGGAGTTACAACTTCGGTTAAGTCAATGGTGTCGTAAATGGTGGAGCCTCTAAGGAGGAGAGGGGAAGTTAGCAATGTTGGTGAGAGGAGCTAAAATGGTCAGAATGGCTTCACATTGGGATGACATACAAGGGCATAGCGTCGCCCTCTCGCATGGGGCACATGGTGGTATGCCCCTTATGGGCACGAGTGCCAACCGATAATACACACCTGTAAAAGTCGAGGGTGCTATTTTTCAAAACAGTAGATACAGTGAGGTACTCCTGTTCGTCCTGCATCGGAGGGGAAAGGGGGGTGAAATAAAAAATGCCACCAACTTTCGAGGTTTGTGTATGAATATGTACCAGTTTATTATACTACATGTGGTCGCCTCATTTTAGCAGCACATGTTAGGGAGGCTCCTTGTTTTCGTACCTTCTTCTTATGGTACTTGAGGATTCCCCTGTGTGTTTTTTTGCAAAAGGACGGGTCATTTTCCGTTGCGCAAAAGGTGTATGCCACAAGTAGGAAGGCAAATAACGCGGCGATGTTGAGGAAATGCATTTTGTTTTTTGTGTCTTATTGAAGAGGGTAGAGACAGTATTATAGGGTGCGCAATTTGGTGGGGTTGGAGGAGGTGATTTATTGGAGAAGGGAGAGTGGCTCAATGATTACAATGTGTGTGTGCGTCTCTGTGGTCCTTTACTTTCCTTTTACATTGTTTCGCGTCATTTTTATTTCTTTTTTTTGCCTGTCCGAATTGGTGTCACGGTCGAGCAACACATTTTTCAAGTTGCATTTTTTCCGTTTGAAATTGAAAAAAAAAAAAAATTATATAACAAGAGGCATCACCTAAGGTGTATATACACCACTGTGTCCTCATCATCATTTAAAAAATTTTTGTCATTCATTTTGCGTTAAAGGGAATATACAGGGGATGCCATTTTATGTTATCACGTACAACAAAAAAAAAAAACAAAAATGCAGGATGCAACAGTAGTTGTATGGTGGAAAAAACAATAAACAACGGGGAAATATAAAAAAGGGAAGGGTTTAAAAAAAGTGAAAGAAAAGATTTTTTTTTTAAATGAAGTCAGACGGGACAAAGCCAACTTATTCTGCCCCCTCATAACAAGGCGAAAATAACAATAAACGTAATGACAATAATGAAGAGGATGACGTTGCAAACGATTTGAACTCTACTGCATTCAAAGCACTGCCTCAGATTTCTGCAAAGGGGGGGGGAAAAAAGGGGGGAATCACATGTGGGTTTGTACGTACGTTGCATGGACATACTGCGCCGATTCGTAGCGCGCGAATGGATGTCCCCATGGGAAAGAGATAAAAAAAAAGCCTGCTATGAAAGCCGCTCACGCATAACGCGACAAGCAAGAATTTACCTGGTAGAAAAGAAATCCCGTATCCTTTGCGAAAAGGACACCCTTGAGCCATCGTCCAAGATGCCATGTGCTGTGCCATCCGACATGTATGTGTAATTAGAAGAACTTATTAACCTCTCTGTGTAGTTGCTCAGCATGGGTGAACCATCATCAGTGCTAATCGTGTTTGCTCGAAGTAGGCTATTTAATTCGTGGTAATATTGAATTGAGTACTCCCTGTCTTTTTCAATTTGAAGCTGCTTATAAGCTTGTTCCTTTTTGCTCCTTTCAATAGCTATCTGTTCCTCTTGTTCCTTTTCCAGCAGTTCCTTTTCTCTTTTAAGTCTTTGCTCGTAGTTTTTTTTGTGGGCTTTTTTATATTCCGCTAGAGCGTCTGTCTCTAATAGCTTTTCTTTCATTCTTTGTGGGGGGGGTGCATTAATGGTGGAATGTCTGAAGCGCAGTAATGGTCTGGCGTGGCATCTGCAGGAATGATCGGTTGGTGAACTGTGCGCAGTTCAGGCTGAGCCACATTGTTTCAGCTTAAGTTTGTACCCATGGGTAAGTTTATACTTAAGATTGTATTGTTCTTGTGAGCGTCTGAACACACACGGTTGTTATAATTTTCCCCATTCGAAATGTTCCGCTGAGACGAAATTTACGTCAAGGCAGCAACTCGCTGTGGACACATAATGCATGTTGGTCTACTGCGTAAATGGGAAATTTTCTTTTTCCCTTTTTTTTTTTTTTTACGCACTTAAATTGGGTTTTGCTAAGATGCGCTCGTTCTTCCGCTACACAAAATGGACAGATTGACTTTTCTCTCCCGTTATATGATTATTTTAGGAGGACGTAAAAGGGGGGGGTGAAACCACTTAGGAAATGAAGTCATTCCATATAGCTGTTCTAATGGAGGTGGTACCAAGGACCCTTTTATAACCGTCTTCATGGAGAGCAATTCTCGTCATATGTCACGTGAGAGAAGGAAGAAAGCTTGGCAAAAAAATTAGAGTTAGGTCAATACTAGCACATTTAGACGTGGCGTATGCTGTTACAGTACCGATTAGAAGGCGTCCATATTGTTGTATTTTTTATATGAACCTGTTGCCACCGGACTTAGGTGAGGCATCACCCCGAAAAGTGTGGCGCCTTTCTATGCTGAGCGGGAATGAAAGCTCTTCCTTTTAAGCTATCTGTTTAAACTGAAATAACGCGGTAGAATGATGCCGCAAGAAGCAGTTTGTTAGCCAAATATTTGTACAATATAAAATACGTGCATGTGTTGTTAGGGATTAGATGGGCCCAGTAAACAAAAAAAAAAATATATAGAAACAAAAACAGGAAAGCAAAAATAGCTAAAAAGGAGCATAAAAAACAAAAAATCATGCATTTATAAATAGTAAAAAAAAAAATTGACAAAGGGCAAATTGTAAGGAAAATAAAATGCTTAACAAAGTGAAGATTAATAATGGCAACGCTAACATGAACACCAAAAAAAAAAAAAAAAAAAAGGAAAAAAGAGGATTAGTTTAGATAAAAATTAAGAAGCATATTTAGAATAAAACAGTTTTATACATTAGAAGAAACATCTAGGCACCTAGAGCACCTCTGCATGGGCCACATGCACATAGCCGTGTAAGCCCTTTAATTATAACAAAAACATGTGGAGCGGGGAATGGAAAAATAAATGAACACTCAAACGAATGTTGTAGGTGTGCTTCCCCAAAGGCAGAACAAAAAAAAAAAAAAAAAAAAAAAAAAAAACATATAACGACAGTGTGCGTGCAAGTTTCGCATTTGGAAACGAACAAAATATTTTTAAGCGAATCCTTTTTGTTTTTTTTTTTTTTTTTTT